ATGAGGTTTGAATATGAAATGGTGAAGATTGATTACCATATTTGGGTATTTCTGAAAAGTCACTTTTACCGGATATTTTGTACTACTGTAGCAGCAACCGGTAGAATCTCGGAATGAGAGAAAGATGAAATAATGGAATGAAAGCCCAATATATGCCTAACAAGTCATAATTTGACCAAAATTGTCAAAGTTAAGAAAATTATGAAATTCGGGTACTGTTAGGAACACCGGTAAAGCATACAGTGCAATTAAACTGCGGTAAGTGGATCTGTGATCTACTAATTGAATTTTTAAGTTAAGAACATGATAGTCACACAAACTTAATATTAATTACTTAAAGTTGGGATCTTGGGGATTTTCAGGTAAAAATTTGATAACAGTTGAAAGAAAAATTACATCAGGTGTCACTAAATGATAGAAAGTCACTTAATGACATGGCAAAAACCGTAAAAACATAAGGGACCCTTCCCCTCATTTCTGATCAGCACCCTAGCAGCCCCGCCCCCTCTATCTCTAAGTTTGGATTTTCAAATTTTCTCCACCTTCTCTCTAAGATTCCACCACCAAAACTCCATCAAATCACCAAACTTCCTTCACAAAACTTGTTCCTCTCATCCTCCTCTTCAAGAACATACCATTTTTTTTCCTTGGAAGCCAAATTTTTGTGGTGAATCCCTCCCCAAACAGCAGCGTTTTTGGAGCTTGTTCATGCCTTGGAGATGATGTTTTGAGTTCTCTTGGAAGAACACTCCTTTGGTGTTTGTTTCCTCAAGTTTTAGTGTATGTTTCTTGAAGCTTTTCCTTGAAAAATTCCACCTTTGAGTTGTGTTCTTGAGTCTAACTTTGAGTCTTTGTTGAAGATGTGTTCTTTGTGGAAAAGATGCATCTTTGTTGGAGAAAAGTGGAAGCTTGAAGCTTTGGAGTCAACTTGAAGAAGTAAGCATGAATACTTGGTGAAATGGTGAGCAAAACCCTCCCCCTCCCACCTATATGATTTGGCCAACATGGGTTCTTTATGGGATTCATATTGTAATTTGATAAAAATGAGTTCTTGATGTTGGAAAGTGTGGAGAATCATGAGTTGAACCAAGGATGATGTTAAAAATGCAACCTTTAAGCTTAAGAACACTAATCTTGCTTAAGGATGAAATTTAAACCTGAATGACACTATCATGTCAAATCTGCCCTAATGAGTATAATTAGGATTTTATGTTTAAAATTTAATTAAATAGTGAATTAGTGGACTAATTAAGTATAGGACTTAATTAATTAAAGAAATGGTGAAGTAGACAAGCTAAAAATCTTGTTTATAACACCTAAACAATTCAGCCAATTAGGGATCAATTAGGATTAGTATGTTAAAAATTGGTTTAAGACCTAATTAGGATACTAATCAGGGGTTAAAGTGAGGTGGATCATGCATAAAGGATTAATTAACTATAAAGACCCTAAAATGGACCTAATGAGGTTTGAAAGCACTAATTATGTAATTAGTGAACCTAATGAACTAAGACCTAATGTGACTATGTGAGAATGTATAAGTGACCTAATAATAGAAAAATCCTAAAATTAAAGTGACTTAGAGTTTCTAACCAAAGATAATTAGGATTTGCTAATTAAACACACTTGGGGTTAAATGACCAGTTTTTATGCTAATTTAGGAGAGAATATCTCCCTCCAAAGAGGTCCAATAGGGATGTGTCATATATTATTTTGAAGCTTGAGATGTCAGCTATGTGGTGTAAAAATTTGGTACTATTTGAAGATGTGTAGCTTTCTGTAGGTCCGATTGAGTGGAGACTGCCCAAGGAGGCCATGTGTAGGGGTTGTACGTGGTTGCATCTTCCACGAATTTTTTCTCCCTCATTTCTTACTCAAATTAGTCTCATGATAATCTAATTTAAAGCTGAGGCTTTCTAGTCTTTTGTATAAAAATTTGAGAGGAATTGGTTTAGTATATTTTCCAGAATCGCAAAAATGGTGAGGGATGTTTGGGGCTCTGCTTGGGGTTGGCACACAGTTTTGCTTGTCCAACTTCAAACGGTGATAACCGGAGCTAGAAAACTCCAAATGAGGCATATGATACCTTGTTGGAAAATTAATTGAGTCTAGATTAACATAATAAAAGATGAGAAGGTTATAGAAAGTGGGTTGCACAAAGTGACTAGAAAACAGAAGCATGTACAGTTATAAGAAAACCGTAAAAGTGAGATTTAAGCTAAGTGGGTTTATGGGAACCCCTTAGTAACTTATAATAATCATATATATGGCTTGGATGAGTTGAAAATAATCTAAGTTAACTTAGTGATCCTAGAGTGTGATTCTAAGATTATGTAAGGTGCTTAAACTATGTGGTTGATTGTGTAACAAGTGAATACTTCATAAGGCACTAAAATCATATAATTAAGTAATAAATGGTCTAGACTTGTAATTGGCATATTATTGGCATATGAGTATAAAAAGTGGAATCATTATATGATTAAGTCTTGGATATAACTTGATTAATTAATATTTAATTAATAATGTGAATGGTTCCTACTCTAGGTGTGCCTAGAGAACCTTGCACTTGAGGGTTGTATAGGAGCATACGTATTATATTAGCGTGTGGGCTTGTACTAAGCTCTTTGAGGTAAGCTCCTGGTTTTGGTTGCTCCTCTCTCTTGTGGCCCCACCATGATGGTGGACATTATGGTTGAATTGTATGAAAGTATGTTATGTATGGTATATGTCCATTCATTCACATTCATATAGATATTATATGATTATTGATCTTATGATGATGCACTGATGATGTATGGTATGAGGTTCCTGGCCAGTGAATATGTATGTAGGCTGCCTATGGCTTGACCCCGAGAGCTATTTCATACTACAGTTATGTTGACTGTCTATGGCTTGACCCTGGAGTCACACATGTGTAATCGTCTATGGCTTTGACCCTAGGGTTACACAAGGATGATATGATGATGCTATATTTATGTTGTATGCCTGTATTACATGCTTTATATCTGACTTGTCATGCAGGAAGTGGGCTCAGGGGATTAGAGGATCCTCTATGAACCTTGAGCTTACTGAGATGTGTTATCTCACCCCGTTTGGGGACATCATTTCAGGTACCCAGAGTTATGGAGATGCTTCTAGGAGCAAGGCCCCTGCCTTGGAGTAGTCGATGGCGATGCTGATTAGTTATATTCTGATTAGATTTTGTGATGGCATGTATAATTATTAATATGCCTAATTATCTTAGGTTGAGATTACATTATGTATTCATTTAGGCTCATGATTGTAGTAATGGAGCCCTGAATTATTTATTGATGCTTAGACGTTTTAAAAATAATATAAACTTGATAGATACAACAATTAAACAGACAACTCGCAAGTCTCACACGGACTAAGATCCCCTCTCGGGTCAATTCAAACAATAAGGCTCCATGCCCAAATAACTGAATACATACATCAAGTCTATATTAATTTTAAAATGTCTAAGCATCAGAAAATAATTCAGGGCTCCAATACTACAATCATGAGCCTAAATGAATACATAATGTAATCTCAACATAAGATAATTAGGCATGTTAATAACTATACATGCCATCGCAAAATATGATCAGAATATAATTAATCATCATTGTCATCCACTACTCCAAGGCAGGGGCTTTACCCCTAGAAGCATCTCCACTACTCTGGGTACCTGAAATGATATCCCCAAACGGGATGAGATAACACATCTCAGTAAGCTCAAGGATCATAGAGGATCCTCTAATCCCCTGAGCCCACTTCCTGCATGACAAGTCAGATATAAAGCATGTAATACAGGCATACAACATAAACATAGCATCATCATATCATCCTTGTGTAACCCCAGGGTCAAAGCTATAGACAATTACACATGTGTGACTCCAGGGTCAAGCCATAGACAGTCAACACAACCTCAGTATGAAATAGCTCTCATAGTCAAGTCATAGGCAGCCTACATAACATAATATATATCATCAGTGCATCATTATAACATCAAGAATCATGTAACATCTATATGAATGTGAATGAATGCACGTATACGTTATACCACATACTTTCATACAACACAACCATAATGCCCACCATTAGGGGTGTAAATGGGCTGGGCTGGGCTGGGCTTTGGCCATCCTGGCCCAAGCCTACGTCAAAAAAAATTCAGCCTATCTGGCCTACTGGCCTATTAAAGGCTTTATTTGTAGGCCAAGCTCGGCCCATTTTCAAAAATAAGAAAGCCCGACATGGCCTACAGGCCTTGTAGGCCTCCCACTATATATACTAAGCAAAAAAAATAATTGTATAGAGCAAAGAAAGCTCCATTCATGCATGCACTAATACTTCTCATAAGAAAAAAATGACAAACAAGAAAGAGTCAACATACTACCTCAGCTCTAGAATGTATATCATAGAGGAATAGAGTCAAAGAAATGGGAAAAATATGAAAAATACAATTACTGGATGCTGAAATAAAGTCTACAAGAGAATGTCATTCATTTAAAAATCTTTAAATCACCATCAAGATAAGGGAAAGAAGAGTATTATTGAAAGATTTTCATCAGCAACATCATAATCCAGCAAGGTACCCATTGCTCTATGGTATTAAGCTGCAACAGCATGTAAAATTTGGAGACATTAGACAAGTTTTCCTTTCATAGAATAAAATAGCACAAAAAGTAAGAGATATTAGTATTTGGTACTTTGTGTCTTTGCCACATAAAATAAATATTATTTTATTATTTTATTTTAATAAATTAAATAGGCCAGCCTACAAGGCTGTAGGCCGAGCTTGACAAAATTGGCCTATGGCCTATTTATTAAAAAATCTTTTATATAAGCCTAAGCCTACTCTATTTTTCTGAAAGGCCGGGCCTGGGCTAGGCTCAATGTAGGCCGGGCCGTAGGCTGGGCTGGGCCAGCCTGGCCCATTTACACCCCTACCCACCATCATGGTGGGGCCACAAGGGAGAGAAGTCACTACAACCAGGAGCTTACCTCACTGAGCTTATGACAAGTCCAACTCCAACAGTAAAACAGGTATGCTCCAATAAATCCTCAAGTGCCAAGTCCTCTAGGCAAACCTAGAGCAGGAATCATTTACATCATTAATACTCAATCACTTAATTCTGATACTCAAGATCAAAATCATAATCCTTCAGAAATTTCATCCATCTCATTTGCCTCATATTAAGCTCTTTTTGATCGAACAGGTACTTCAAGTTTTGTGGTCACTATAAAGTGGGAAGGTAGCACCATACAAGAAGTGTCGCCATATCTTCAAGGCAAACGCTAACTGAAGATCATGAGTAGGGTAGCTCTCTTCATGAGGTCTCAACTGTCTAGAAGTATAGGCCACTACCTTTCACTCCTGCATCAACACGCACCCTAATCCATACTTGGATGCATCACAATAGATCTCAAATCTCTCTTTCGGGTCAGGAAGAATCAAAACTGATGCGGTAGTCAACTTATCTTTCAATTCTTGAAAGCTCACATCACACCCAAGGGTCCATGCAAATGGTACTCCCTTTCGGGTTAAACTGATCAATGGCAAGGAAATTCTGGAGAATCCATTAATAAACAGCCTGTAGTATCCTGCTACACCCAGAAACTCCGGACTTCAGTGACATTCTTGGGTCTCTCCCAATCCAACACCGCTTCTATTCTACTCGAATCAACAACCACTCCTACAGATGAAATGACGTGACCAAGAAACTGGATCTCATACAATCAGAACTCATACTTGGATGGTTTGGCATATAACTGATGCTCCCTCAAAATTTGCAAGACTATCTTCAAATGCTCTGTGTGCTCTTCTTTACTCTTGGAATAGATCAGAATATCATCAATAAATACCACTACAAATTGATCTAGATGTGGTTTGAAGATTCGATTCATATAACTCATGAACACGGCCGGGGCATTAGTAAGCCCAAATGGGATCACTAAATATTCATAGTGCCCATATCTGGATCGAAAAGCCGTCTTCAGAATATCCTCTACCTTTACACGGATCTGATGATATCTGGAACGAAGATCAATCTTCGAAAACACGAAAACACCCCTAAGTTGATCCAACAAATCATCGATGAGGGGTAGAGGGTACTTGTTCTTCACTGATACCTTGTTTAGTTGCCGGTAATCCATGCACAACCTCATAGTCCCATCCTTCTTCTTCACAAAGATGACTGGTGCACCCCAAGGAGATACACTCGGTCTGACAAAGTTCTTGCGAGATAATTCTTCTAACTGCTTTTTCAGCTCTGCAAGCTCTACATGTGACATCCGGTAAGAAGCCAAGGAGATAGGCCCCACACCGGGAAATAAATCAATGGAGAATTCAATCTCCTTCTCTGGAGGAAACTGAGGAATTTCTTCTGGAAACACGTCCTCAAATTCACACACTATGGGAATGTTAGCAGTTGGTTCCTTGGAGGCTTCTACTAATACTCCCAAAATAATGTATCCTGCATCTCCCTCATTTAGAGCCTTCTTTAACTGCGGTGCCATCAAGTACAAACTGTCCAGCTTCTCTCCTTTTGCAGAAAAGAAAATCCTTCTGCGACAACAATCAAGCATCACACCATATCGGACTAGCCAATCCATGCCCAAGATAATGTGTATATTCATGCCCTCAAGCACTATGAAATCCACCGTATACTCTTCTTGCTCAAATATGAATATGACTTCTTTGCACTTCAAAGAAGTAGAAACAATGTCTTCGGTGGCAGTCTTCACTACCATGGGAGGCATGAACTCATGAATGGGCAAATGTAACCCATTAGCAACAAATCCCGATATGAAGGAGTGGGTAGCTCCTGAATCAAACATGGCATCAAAAGCATATCCTCTGATAAGAATGGTACCTCTAATCAGGTTTGGAGACCTCTCTGCCTCCTGCTGTGTCACCGCATATACCCTGGCACTAGTGGGCGCCGAAGCCTCCTCTATGTCTCTCTGAGTAGGCACGGCCTGAATGGGAATCGCCTTAATGGCTACAACTTTCCCCTTCCTCTAGGGGCACTCACGGGAATAGTGTCCTGCCTGACCACAGCTGAAACAAACATTCTGCCCAAGTCCGCAAACACCTGGATGTATCTTCCCACACTTGGCACAAGTGGGGATCTTCCCTGCACCAGGCATGCCGCTTCCATTCTTCACAAAGGGAGTCTTCTTAAACTTGTTACTGTGTTGTACTTGCAAACATTTTCCTTTACCCTTCCAGGGCATAGTCCTCCCACTGAAGCTCTTCCCATCTGCTTCCTTACCTCTAGTACGGTAATACTTCTGGATGTCCTGGCATTGCTTAATCAATTCCACAAAGTCTCTGGTGGAATGGCCAGTCAGCTTGTCAGCTATCATATCGTTCAATCCCTTTTTGAATCTGAAGGCTTTGTCTTCTGGAGTGAGGGGAGCTCTACCATAGCATGAATACTTTGCCAATATGTTGAACTTGCTCATATACTCATCCACTGTCATGCTTCCCTGTCCGAGGTCTTCAAATTCACTTCTTTTCTTTTCCCTAGTTTCTTCAGAAGAATATTTCATCAAAAAATGCCTCTCAAAAAGTGGCCAAGTAAAAGCATACCCCTGGCACTCAAGTGGGTTCCTGACATTGTTCCACCAATCTGCTGCGTCTCCCTGTAATAAATACACAACATACAGAAGCTTCATGTTGGGATCACACTCCATAACCTGAAAAATACGCTTCATCTCTTGGAGCCACTCTAGTGCTACTATGGGGTCTCTCCCACCTTTGTAGTGAGGTGGGGAATGCTTCCTGAAAGCATTCAATATACGCTCTCTGGTCTCTCGGTCAAACATAGGCGGCCCTGTTGATCTATCAATCACTATCACCAGCTGCCTCTCGCGTTTCCCATGGACGGATGCCTCTGCCTCCTAGTGGGCCTCTCCTGCCCCTTTCCTATCTCATCATGATAGGCTCAAGAATCGGTATGGGATCAACAACACGTGCAATCTGTTGCTGCACAGGTGGTATAACTGGCGGTGGAAGAGGTGGTGGAGGTCCGCTTAGTACCTCAGTCAGCAGTTGTCTCATCATCTCTGCATTTTCCAATCTATTTTGGGCCATCAATTCTTCATTAGCCTTTCTCATCTGCTCCATATCCAACTCGCGAGCCTCTTCAATTCTTTTCAAATCGGCCTCACTGGTTTCATTCAGGGTCTGCTGTAATGCTGCTATAGCTGCAGCAATATGATCAGGGGACGAGTTTTGAACTGTTTGCCTGGGTCTCCCCCGAGGTGCCATGATCACTACATAAAACTGCATAAGGTATGAGCTAGCTACGCTCAATCCAGTGATAGCATATGCAATATCATGACACTCAAGAGACACTCAATAAATAGTTCTAACACTTAAGCAAGATATCAGTGAACGTCCCGGTAAAACTTCTATGATACCATAAATGTAACACCTCGTAGTACTCCGGTTGTTACATACATGATATTTAGCATACACAGCGGAAGGCTTTATTTATAAAAAAAATAATAAAGTGTCTTATAAAAATACGAGCAAACTTTTTCCAAAATATTTTCTAAAACATTTTCAAAGCGTTCATCTGATATATTGCATTAGCGTAACATTAACATCTAAGTCTACTAATTAAAGCCATTGGCCATCACTAGTGGCCGTTGACCATCCGGATATGAATTCAAGTGTCATTCCTGGCGGAGTCTCACGGACAGCATAACGGCTGTATTTCGGATAACTGGGAACATAGGTCCTACACATACAATAACCTGATTGATACTATAATTAAACAGACAGCTCGCAAGTCCCATACAGACTAAGATCCCATCTCTGGATCAATTCAAACAATAAGGCTCAATGCCCAATTAACTGAATACATACATCAAGTCTATATTAATTTTAAAACGTCTAAGCGTCAGTAAATAATTCAGGGCCCCAATACTACAATCATGAGCCTCAATAAATACATAATGTGATCTCAACATAAGATAATTAGGCATGTTAATAATTATACGTGCCATCACAAAATCTAATCAGAATATAATTAATCAGCATCGCCATCCACTACTCCAAGGCGGGGGCCTTTCCCCTAGAAGCATCTCCACTACTCTGGGTACCTAAATTGATGTCCCCAAAGGGGATGAGATAACACATCTCAGTAAGCTCAAGGTTCATAGAGGATCCTCTAATCCCCTGAGCCCACTTCCTGCTTGATAAGTTAGATATAAAGCATATAATACAAGCATACAACATAAACATAACATCATCATATTATCCTTGTGTAACCCCAGGGTCAAAGCCATAGACGGTTACACATGTGTGACTCTAGGGTCAAGTCATAGACAGTCAAGACAAGCTCAGTATGAAATAGCTCCCAGAGTCAAGTCATAGGAAGCCTACATACCATGATCACTGGCCAGGATTCTCATAACATATATCATCAGTGCATCATCATAACATCAAGAATAATGTAACATCTATATGAATGTGAAAGAATGCACATGTACATTATACCATATACTTTCATACAATACAACCATAATGCCTAGGGATGGCAAAAACGAGCCAACCCGTCGGGTTGGCTAGTAACCCACACAAAACGAGTCGGGTTGGGTTGGCAAAAATGAGCTGCCAACCCGAACCCGAACGAGCCAACCCGCGGGTTAAACAGGCTGGCTCGCGGGTTGCCTTTTTTTTTAATTAAAAAAATAAAAAATGACAAGTAGAGGAGTCACGCGGACAGAAACACATTAACACATCACACATATCCATCCTAACGACCTAGCCCTAGGTCCCCCACCCTGCCACCGTTCTCTCTTCCTTCCACCGACCCACCGACGGCGCCGATTTCCTTCCACCGTTCTCTCTTCCTTCCACCATCAGTTCTCTACTTCCACCGACCCACCGACGGTGCCGATTTGCCTCCCAAAATCAGAAAGGGTTTGCCATTTTATATAAGCTGGAGTTTGAGTCTTATAATTACTGATTAACTGGATCTGGAGCATTTGGTTCCGCCTTTCTCGTTCTTCACATGTCTGATTGTTGGAGTTGAAGCCTATAAAATTTGATAGCTTCTAGCTTTCCAACTTCAATTATTTCCTCTTCTGTGAATTGCTAAACCGTGCATCATGAAGGATTGGTGATTGATTATTTTTTTCCATTAAATAATGGACAACCTAACAAAGAAAGTTTCAATTTTTTTTTTAACTTTTTTGATTCTATTTTGTGATTTTCGTGTTCAATTGTTGGAATTGAAAACCCAGACAATTCAATAGAGCTAGCTTGTCAACTTCAATTTTTATTACTTTTCATGATGTCATCTCCGGTAGGTATGTGTTGAAAAAGATTCGCTTGGCCAAGCAGACAGAGAAGTTCAAACGTACAGCACACCAAGAGGTTGGTGTAACAACCCGCGAGCCAAAAACTAGCCAACCCGCGAGCATTATTTCGAGCTGACCCGTGATCCAATGTTTCGAGCCAGCTCGCAAGTTTTTTTCGAGCCAACCCGCGAGCTAACCCTAACCCGGCTCGGGTCAGGTTGGGTTGGGTTTTCTAGCTTGATTTTTTTTCGAGCCAACCCTAACCCGACTCGATTTTTTGGGCCAAATGCGGGTTGGGCCGGGTCGAGCCAGGTTGGCCCGTTTTGCCAACCCTAATAATGCCCACCATCATGGTGGGGTCACAAGGGAGAGAAGCCACTACAACCAGGAGCTTACCTCACTGAGCTTATCATAAGCCTAACTCCAACAGTAAAACAAGTATGCTCCAATAAATCCTCAAGTGCCAAGTCCTCTAGGAACACCTAGAGCAGGAATCATTTACATCATTAATACTCAATCACTTAATGATTCCACATTTCATTCTTACATGCCAATAATATGCCCGTTATAAGTCTAGACCAATTATTACATAATTACGTATTTTAGTGCATTATGAAGAGTTAACTTGCATTACAAGCAATTAATATAAACTTCAACATTTAAATCCCTTAGTTCAAGTCCCAAAACCGTGGGATCCCTTCATCCAAATCCTAAGAATTATTGCTTGTTACTCTAAGTTACAAGTTGGTTAAAGCCTTGGACACATAATCAAACCTTAATCCATCATTCTTTAAATTTTTCAACCCTAAACCCTAATTATACCCTTTATGGCTGAACCATATTCATATCCTAACCTAGGATTTGCTTTCATTAATTCACATGGTCATGTGTCCATAAGTCCATTCTAAGCTTAAGTTACCATTTAGTTCCTTAATTAGGTTTAATTAACAAACCCTAATTAGGTTTTTTTAGAAACCTTAGGTTACTTTAATTTTAGGGTTTATCCTTAATTAGGTTCATTATGAAGTCCCACTTAGTCATATAATGTCTTTGTACCTCAAGTTCACTAATTGCATGATTAGTGCTCCTAAACCCTAATTAGGTCAAATTTTAAGGTTTATAATTTAATTAGTGTATTGTGCATAGTCCACCTCACTTAACCACTAGATTAGTGTCCTAATTAGGTCTTAGTGTTAATTTTAACATTGTGACCCTAATTTAATTACACATGGCCGAAATGTTTAGGGATGTAGTTTAGGGTTTTTAAGCTTGTTTCTTTTTCATTTCTTTAGTTAATTAGTCCCTACACTTAATTAATCAACTAATCCATGATTTTCATATTTTTAACACAACTAATCCATCTTATACTCAAGAGGGCAGATTTGATTTGTTAGGGTTATTAGGGTTTTTAGCCATCCTTTATCAAGATTAGTAGGTTTCACTTAGAGATAACCCACTTAGTTAGTCTTTCTTAGTTTCTCTTGGGATTTTTTCACACTTAACAACTTCTTAACATTTTTTAGTCATCAAACCCTAGTCTTCCAAGGAAGGGCCGAAATCTTCATGTGTCCTTTTAGGGTTCATGTTCATCTTTTTACATGAAATCCTCACAAAGATCCCTCAAGAACCCTTTCTTTAAAATTTTCAACAATATTTTCCCCACCCACAATGAAAAACTGAGAATGAAAGTGAGGAGAGGAAGGATTTTTGGGTCATCTTTTCCCAAAGTAGTGCTTACTTCTTCAAGCTCACACTTTTAGCTCCAAGCTTCACTTTCTCCAACAAGAATGCTCCTTTAAACAAGAACACACCTTCAAAAATATGGTCAAGAGTTAGAGCTCAAGAACACAAGAGAGGAAGATGAGGTTTTTCAAGAAAAATTTAGAAAACTTACACATAAACTCAAGAAAACCAAGCACACAAGTGGTGTTGTTCAAAAGGACTCAAGAACACAACTTCATGGTTTCATGAAGCTTTAAAATCGTGGCTGGAATTGGGGAGGAGGAACACGAAAATTTACTTCACACCATAAAAATTGTATGGTTGTGAAGAGGAGAGTGAGGGGAACAAGTTTTGTGAAGGAAGTTTGGTGATTTAGTGAGGTTTAGGAGGAGAGATTCTAGAGAGAAGTGAGAGCAAAGTTGAAACTTTGAATTTTAGAGAGAGAAAGGGGGATGGGGCGGCTGAAATTTGAAGCCCAAGGGAGGGGAAGGTTCCCTAATTAGGGTTGTCATGTCACTTTCGTGGCACTTTGTCCTATAGTGAGACCCAGTGTAATTTTTATCTGAACCGTTATCAAATTTCAACCCAGAAATACCCAAGACTCTAAATTTAAGTAATTAATATTAATTTTGCCTAATTATCATGTTCATAACTTAAAAATTTGATTAGTAGATCACAGATCCACTAACAGCTGTTTAATTGTACTATAGTCTTTACCGGTGTTCTTAACTGTACTCGGATTTCATAATCTTCTTAACTTTCACTTTATTGGTCTAATTATGACTTGTTAG